TTCTCACATACCGCGGTAATAGCAGCCATCAGAATAGTTAAAGCTAAGAAGTTTTGCGCAAAGCGGCGCTACAGTCAAGTAAGAGCTCAACTCAAAGCAATAAAAGTGTTTATGCTGCGAAACAGCCAAGCAAACCAACCCTTGACCATAGAATAGCAACAACTGTAGCGCCAGTGCTTGCAAAGTTTGCCATTACAATAGACATGTAATTATGCACGCAGCCGCAGCCATTTAATTAACATATTTAGCACTTAATTTATCATCGAGCACAATTAAGCTTCGAGTTGGACCTTTTGTCTTATTTTTACATACATACATACATACATACATATGTAATGTTTATTATCATTTTATCATTTCCTTTGTCTGTGAGCTCGTACTCGCAGTTAAAATAATTTTATGAGCGTTAAAATTCCAAGAAAAAACATTAATCACAAATGAGCAACAATGACATTTCTATTTCTGCTTTAAAAATTATCAGTGGGAAATTTATGCGAAAGCGCAGTGAAAATGCAACCTTCAATTACAATTGTACGCATGTGCATTAGCATTAGAAATACGTATGTAGTAGTAGTTGTGGTAGTGACGTCCACTTGTACACGTGAAAAGCGGCTGTGTATTGTAGTTGTGAGCGGAAATGAGTAGGCGTATGGCGCGTCGGTGCAGACAATTGGCCAGTCGAGGTCCTTTGGAATTTTTCTATTTATTTGCTGAATGACTTTTGCCAGTCATTGTAGTCAGTGACCTTTTGCGCGATAAAGCAGACTAGACAGGCTAGTCACCATTTAGATTGGGCAGTTAGTCATTTGGTATTTTCGTTGGAAACGCCTGGCGTAACGCGCGCGCTATCAGTGAAATAGTAAAATACCGGGAAAGTGGTAGTTATTTTCTTTTATCTTGTGTGAAGGAATGCAATTTTTATGGTGTTTTCCATATGTGAGTTATGGTTGTTGCACATAAATAGGCTGTGGGTATTTTTCACACATTTGTTTGGCGGAGACATGTGCTGAGCAGACGGAAATTTTGAGCTGTTTAGGTTTTTCATGAAAGGGGGTTAGGAAATTTTGAAAAGTATCTACATAAATATCTGCTTGGAAACTTCTTTAAAACGCACATTTTCGGATCTGGCTAACAAGGGTAAAAATTTGTTTTAGAGGTAAGATGACCAGCATTTCATTTGGTGAGCTTTATGGGCCCATAGATTTCGTAATCCTTATTCTCTTAAACTGCGAACGTTGCCGTTAACGGCATTATTACTGGAAATGAGTTAGTTGATTGGCCACCGATATCGTGCGATTTAACGCCTCTAAATTATTTCATCTAGGGTTAGGTGATATCATTGCTTAATGCGAAAAAAACCTTCGTAAGGTAATTGAAAATTCTGGAAATTCTCTTGAAAGATATTTTCTGTCTAACGAGGATGTCTTAGCGTTATTTTTCCTCCTCTTTTAGTAAAAAGTTTTAAAAAAATTTAATGAAAAACAAAATATTTTTTAAAACAATAAAATCTAAAAATTTATTTAAAAAAATTTAATTAAAGGAAGAAAATAAGTTACTAAAATTTAAATGAATTAAAAACAAAACATTTTTTAAACAATAAAATCTCGAAATTACATAATTAAAAAATTAAAAAATATATAAAATTAGTTTCTAAAAATTAAATGAAATTAAAAAATATTTGTCTTTTTAAAACAATAAATCTTAAAAATTAAAAGGATTTCAAATAAAAAATGAAGAAAAACTGAATTAAATAAAAGTAAAAACAGATAAAATAAGTTTTTAAAAATTAAAAGAAATTAAAAAAAAAAATTGGTTTCTTCTAAACACGAAAAGTCTAAAAATTAGAAGAATATTAAATCTAAAATAGATCAAAATTAAATAAAAAAAATTCCGCTGCCCGAAGATTCGAACCTCGCATCTCTTGAATGGCACGCCAGTCTTGGCTCACTCGGCCGTTGCGACTGTTGGAGTAGCGCGAGAAAAATGATTTATATATCCAAAGAGTTTTTCACCATGAAAATTGGCAAGTGCTTTCAAACTAAAAAAAACACCGTTTTGCAGGAGATATAACATGTTTTGTATTCGAAAAAATGTTTGCTTAATATGTATGTATGTATGTACATATATGTTTGTATATATTCTTAATACAAAGGCTGAATTTTTATAAAGTTCAATTTAAAGACATGGTTTTATTTTAAAAGCATAGGGTTGTATCTTTCCCTAAAAACCTTTAAATTCAAAAAAGGACTTTATATCCTCTTTTACTGAAAATTAATTGAGCTCTTTGAACTTAAAATAAAAGTGCAAAACTAAAAACAATTTAACGATGTATTGCCAGCATCCATTTATTTGCCACGCACTCTAAAAAAAATCGAATTTAATTGCCGACCCATTTTAAATCTATTAAACGCCATAGCTTTAGTTATTCATTGAATTTTCATTTCATTTGCAAACAATCACAAAGTGGTCCAAAAGGTCAAATTGCTAAGTGTTTGGCCAATAGGCAAGCAACTGGCCTGCGGGGAATTGAAATCTTGTTTTCTATTTGACAATTACCAAAGCGCATTACAAACGTGACGGGTACTTTAGCTTTGCAAGAAGATCATTTATTGCTAATAAAAATAAATAAATAAATTTGCAACTTCAAAGCAACAAAACGCCGCTAAAGACAAACTGAAGAAGCGCCGCCATCGGCAGCAAATCAAGTTAACCTAATGAAGTAACATCTTCAAAAACAAGTTTCGAAACGGAACTCTCAGCGCAAAAGGCCAGAGTTCATGAAAAGCTGTTTGGTGGCAAGCGCATCAAGCGCCAAAGCATTTTTGCAAAGACACTTTTTGCTTAGCAGCAGCGCCGCGACAAAGCTAAGAGATTCTCATGGCTAAACGCGTGTCTAACAAAAGACTTAAGCAGCAAACTCGAATAGAAACATATCTAAGTATATACTTGCATTTATGGTGCTATTAGCATATGCTCATCATATGTTTGCAGTGTGCTGTGAAAATCCCCCAATACAAATAAGCAAACAACAACAAAAAAATGCACTAAATAAAAGTGTGAGAATTTTCCCTTATTCCCTAAGAAATTTCCAACCCTCCACGAATTGGCAACTAAGAAATAGCGCCATTATAATGCCATAAATAGGCGCAGCAGTCATGATACGCACACACACACACACACACACACACGCACATACTTATGCATAGCGAAACATTCCCTTACATTTGCCCTGCCGTCCAAGCACTGTGGCACACCTGAGGGAAAATCGCTGCGCGCTGTCGTGCTGTGGCGTCGCAGTTTATTTTGCTGGGAACAACAAAATCACGCACTTGCAATGAGTTCTATGGCCCTCGGCTTTTAACGACTAATTACAATTATATGCACATCATTCGGTAGGTAGGCGCACACGCATACGTTTAGTTGATTTTATGCGCACGCAATATCATTGTTTCACTTTTCTGCAAACGCAGCAGCGACTATAGTAAATATGTATATAGTTTAAACTAGCAATGAGATGCTGCTGGTTTTCCGTAACACAATTTTCTACTTATATAATACATACGTAATTGTCCACTTAAACGCTATTTTTATACAACTTGGTTAGTATTTTGGACTTCAAAGTAGACTGTTATAGTTAGAAGTGTTAGTGTTAGTAGAAGTTTTGATATAGGTACTAAGTACACGATTTTACTAGATAAAACCACAACACTTATAGAAAGAAGTCCACTGAAGGCACATCAGAGATTTGGATCTATTTCACCGTCCGTTTAAAAAATCACAAGGCAATATTCTATTGACCTATTCGGCCTAGCGTTATAAAGGTTAAGGCTTGTTTTTATATGTATATTTTTAATTTGAAAAAACCGGAAATTTATGCTTTAACTATTTTAAGCATTCACAGAAAGCTAATCTGGGACTAATATGATTGTACTTTTTAATCTGAAAACTCTTGAAAAGTCCATTTCGAAAGCATCAAAAAAATACCGGCAAGTCTAAAAAAAACTACGACAGTTCTAGAAAATTTCCAAGAATCTCAAAAACTTCCAAAAACTACCGAAAGCAATTCCGAAAACACAGAAAAAACCCTGATAGTCCCGAAAATCCCAGAAGAATGCTAAAGAGATCCAGAAGATCGAAAAAATCCTAAAAAATATGCCGTAATATTCTAAAGGATCTCGAAAATATTAAAAAGTAAAGCCTAAAAATACTGAATGTCTCTAAAAATCTCAGAGGATACGGAAAATCCTAAAAAAAAGTTCCGAAAGAATAGTTAATAGGAAGGTCTCAAAGAAGTCACTATTAAGCGGTGTTTGCAGCTCTCAAGAAAAATCACAATAAAATATTTTTCAATATTTTTGCTGCTTGAAAAAGTACTTTGTGTTTAATTTTCTTGAATAAATAAATATATGTGTTAGGAATTTTTTCTTGAGAGCTGCAGAATGATTTAAAGAATTTTTATAAAAAAAAATTCTATATAAAAAGATTTCTTTTTCATTTATTGTGCGCGATTTTTAAAGAATTTTTCATTTTTTTTGGGAGCTGCAATTAGCCCTTTAGAAAAAAATCTTGAAAATTTTCGAAAATACCTAAAACTTGCAAATTTTTAAATTATGTTTATCAGTGCCCTAAACATGAAAAGCAAAAATTCAGTTATGTAAGCCTTTAAGTATGCTTCATATTAATCTAAGCTCTATGGCTTTAACCTCTGTGGGAAGTCCAAAGCGATTTTCAATGGCAGTACACATGTACACACATTTCTCGGAGCTCACTTCGCAGCGTTTCGAGTAAACGACTTCAGCATGCAACCCACACAAACAAGAGTACTCTTGTGATCTCTGAATCCACAGCCGACTCCATCAGCAAAAAACCGTTGCATACTTTCAGTCACTAGCCATCTTACACTCCACGAGCAAGATCACTTCCACACACAAGTACGCACACATGCAAACAATTACGCTGCCAAATAGTTTGTGGAACATAAGTAAATTGTCTTGACTTACCTTCAATGCACAGAATATACAATCTTGGCCGCAGCAAATGTGATGATTGAGGGTGCGAAAGGAACGACGAAAGGCGTCCAAGTGCCATAAGACCTGCAAGAAACGAAACGAAGAAGAGAGAATATGAAACAAATGCGAAGATGTGTAATAGGAAAAATAAAAACAGGTAAATGTGATGATGAAAAGGGCATTTGCTTTGTACATATATATATTTTCTCAACTCATATGCCAGTTACTTTAGCTTACAATACGTTGTGTCGAGCAACACAAACAAGTTTTTATGGCAGCCATGTTTTTTATTCGGTTCACATACATAATAACTAAGCAGCAAGTAGCCGTGAGCAGCGGCGCTGCGAAGTCGATTTGTGTAGCCAGAAACTACAGCCAAAGAGTTAAACGAACGAAGAGTCGGTTTTAAGATTGCTTGCTTCTCGTTGTAGATTTCTGTATGTTGAAGTGCTTATGCAGAGGAGTGCTTGCCCGATTACCCCATTTGCCACAGTCAAAGCACACAGCAGGGAACGAAACGCTAAGAAAACTGGTTTTGCAAAGCTGCCTTTCAAAGTGTCCAATACGCTTTACCCCAACTACAACTTGGCCATACAACTTTTGGCTGGGGCGATTGTACGAGGAGTATGTTGCCCTAACAGCCGCAACATTTGTTGCTCAACAACTTTGGAGCTGCTGATGCTGGTGCTGTGGCTACAGCTGGCTGCGGCTGCGGCCGCGGCTGACGGGGTCTTTGGAAAGTAAGTAGTAGGTACAGTTTTTGTAGTTTGTTGTGTCGCCCAACAGCTGAATTGGTTGTGTCTGAAAAGCTCTTATCCAATGGGTAATAGCACTAACAACACACCCAGCACAGCTAAACAACAGGCAAGCTGCCAGTCAACAGCCAACAGCTAACCAAACAGACAGACAGACAGCCAGTCGACGAGCAGCTAGGCAACAATCGGACAGCAAGCAATCGGGCAATCAGGCACTCAGCATTTGCTGGTTTAATGTCGCTTAAGTCCACATTGGCTTGAAAAAGGTTTATCCGTGTGCGTGGAGGGCAACGCGATAAGCGGGTGGGCATGCTAGTTTTTTGTATTTCGATTTGTTTTTTCCGTTTGCTTTGTTTATACCTTCGAGGTGGCGTGCTGGCCAATACTAAAGTTGCAGACTTTTGATTTCCTTCTTTCTATGCGCTGCTGCCAAGCAAGCAACAAACAATGCTGTTGTGCGCCAATGTAGCTTCGTCTTGTTGTTGCTTTCTTTATTGATTTTTGACTTGTCGAGTTTTTTTTGAGTCGTTTTCTAAGCCATCTAACAGAGCTATCGAAATGTTTCAGGCCAATCGCTTCAAATGCTTTTTGATTGCCTTGGCACTTCGCTTAGCTTTGGCGCGACTTTTTTGTACTATGTGTAGATGTACATATGTACATATACGTATATGCTGCTTTTGTTTGAAGCCGTATTATTTTCAAATGTGTTGCCGAAATGCTGCAGCAAATGCATGCACGTACTTTGCGCCACAACTAGCGGGTCAGCAACATTTTTTGTTGCTTAGCTGGCTTGTGTATCATTAGAGTTTGCAGTCTGTTGTTGTTGTTGTTTGATTTTTTTCTAAGTATCATGTCGTTTTGCTGGTTTGCTTCTAAGTTTACGTTCGTGTTTGGATTTTTTGATTGTCTGGTGTTGTCTAACTTTTTTCTACTATTTGCATTGTTTTTTCTTTCGCATAAGCACGCCACTTTTTTCCACCATTTTGTTTGCTAGTTCGCTAGTATCCAAATTTATCGTACTCATTGGCATCTATTCGCTTTCCTGTTGACTGAACTTTGGCGTTGATTAACCTCAAACCTCAAAACTTTTATGATTTTTTCTTGCATTTTTTATGGTTTTTTTTCAACTACATTTTTGTTTGTTTTTATTCAAATTCTCAGCGCACAGCTGCGCCTTCACTTATGTACATATGTAAGAATTTCATGGACACATGATATATTGAACACTTTTATTTAAAGTATCTGTTGCATTGTGTTTGGCGTTATATGATGCTGTGGCACGCACCACTGACCAATGAAGGGAAAATCAAATAAAATTTCAACAAAAAAAAAAATTGAAGGTAAGTGAAACAACAAAAAATGGTGCTAGGTGTTGAATTTGACTGGTTGTACACACAAACATATATACATGATTTAATTTTTTTTTTGTGATATAACCCTTGTAGACATTCAATAGCCAATTTAGTATATATATTTTTTTTAATTCTAAGTAAAACAAGTCTGAAATATGTATGTTTTACTAGGCCTCTTGATTTGTGAGTTTTAATTTAAGGTTCATTGATCTATTGTTATATATATTACTTATACTTATAAGAAGAGAAAATATTATACAAATTTAGAAAATATTCCAACGGAGGGGGTGCTATCCTAATGACCTGCAGTGCATAAGTTTTTAATATTTTTAGAAAGATTTCGGTTATGCAGTTTTATAGCCCAATAAATTTTAGTGCAATGAAGGGCAAATTTCAAGTGGCTACAAAATGCCATTGATTTTTGACATTTTTTTTGTTGTCAGTGCAGCGCATTTTCTTCCATACAAAAATTTGGTCGAGCATACTTTGTATGGAAGAAAATGTTATTTTTCTCTTATTTAGCATATCATCGATTGAGGACTTTGACACAGATTAGGTCGGATTTCGTTTAACTAAATTTAAGACAATGCAAGACTAGGTCGGGAAGCTAAGAGCATATCCATTGAAAAGTCCATTAATTTGAGTATAAATAAATTTTCAATGGCCTTAAATATAATTAAAAAAATTCTGCAAACGTATTAAAACTAATGTAAAATATCGATCAGAAAAATTAAAAAACAAACAAATTTCATTATACCAATTTAAAATGCTTTTATTTTAGTGTTTTTTAACCGACTTCCAAAAAAGGAGGAGGTTATCAGTTCGTCGGAATATTTTTTGTTTTGTTTATGTATGTTACCGCATAACTTTGCACCACGTCAACCGATTTCAATAATTCTTTTTGCAGCGGAAAGGCAGTGTATCAGAGGTGAGCCCATACTAATTTGGTTTAGATCCGATCATTGAATCATGAAATATATAGATATATATATATTTTTTTAAGTCGGTTTTTTTGTTTGCTAAAAATTACTTGTTTATATGAGAGTTGAAGTCGGTTTTTTTTTGCTAAAAATTACTTCTTTTTATATCAAAATACTACATCACAAATTGCTAGTCCGTGCGCTACAAACTCAAAGGGTTGACCTCAAACAAAAGACTTTAGCAACAAACCTGTTTCAGATGTATGCAGTTAACACGCAAATCACTGGATGCATCCAAAGTGTAGTAAAAAATAGATTTGCAAATGTATGCAAATTAATAATTTTTATGGTTTAAACTAGTTAAAAGCAATAAATTAGTTTGTAATGATTAAAGTGTCAACCATAAAGGCAATCATGTACATACATATGTATATATATATACATAAACAGAAGCATTAAATGAATAGATAAAATTGATGAAATAAATGTTAACGCTGAGATGAAAAGAGCACCCACTAAAAGATTTTATATATGTAAATGACTTAATAACTTTCAAACGCAAAAAAATTGAGAAACTTTTTATATTATCATAATTTTAGCCGATATTGACATAGTGAAGCGAATTAAAATACAGCGCCTCCGCAGCTTGGCCGTTCGAATGGACACAGATGCTCCAGCCCTAAAAGTACTCAACTCGGAATATGCTGGTGACGTAAGAGGATGAAGCAGGCTTGACCAGGCTTCACTTGGCATTTCTAATTGCCGTCAGTTGGCACGGAATAGAAACGAGTGCCTGCTTTATTGAACTCGGTCAAAAACGTTTGCGCAGTTAGAGCACCAAACAAAGCGCAAAATCTAGTATCATTTCAGAGCAATCATTTGTTGATTGCAGCCTTCTTTTAGAAAATCAAAAATTGGAACCCAATAAAAAATACGTTCAGCATCTTAACAATTGCTAGTAAAGAAAAAAATAAAAATTATATAAGCATAGATATGCATCAATGTGTGTATACATACCTAAATACATGTGTGTGTATGCACAAAAACCCATCAGCCAAAAAACGCCCATTTTCCAACACTAAAAACCATTTATGTAATATGAAATCTAATTCGAAATGTGATCTGTTTTAAATCTGTAGCTGTCATTTTGAGCATATAAAGTTGACCAAAACTGAACGATTTAACAAAATATTTGAACTCGTTTTGAATACATTGTGGCAGGCAGTAGTTGGCAGTCGCACAAAACTTGAACGACAGCAGATTAAGAAAATCAAAAAAAAAAATCAAAAATTTAATACCAACTGCACACCAAAAGTGAGCTAACCAACAACTGCAATCGCAAAATTGCATACTTAAATTATAGTGCCAAAGCTGGCTAAGCTGCATAAAGCATAGATAAGGATAGGCGGGCAAGACAAGCGCGCTTGCATGCGCATATGGGGGCTTGTGGAACATTGTATAGACTGGCGGCCAGACAAGCAGACAGCTAACAAAACGGCAAAGAGCCAAACGGCAGTGCAAAGCAAATCGCCCAAATGTCCAGCTGCATTCAAACAACAACATTAAGTACGTATGTATCTGATATACATTTCTATGTTGGAAAAAATAGTAAACCAAAATCAGGCTGACAGCAAGCCACTCGCCGGCGAACTGGTCAACTAGGCAACTAACCATTAGTGCTAGCTCAACAGCGCTGTAGATTGCAATTTAGAAAAGTGTACAGCCAAAATGGAAAACGTGCTGAAATTGGAGCAGTGCACACGCGCCACTGGAGAGCACAGGAGTGGTTTGAATACATAAAAAAAATTGTGTGTGCCAGCTTGTATGTGGCTTTGTTTATGTGAGTATATTTACCGCAAAATAACTCAATATGGGGGCACACTTTCGTATATAAGAAATGTATTGAACCACTCAATTAAAAAAAAAAGTATTTCAACCTAAATTGCTTTAGATGCTGCTTAAGTTATTAAAGGTGAGATTTTTGTGGCTTATTTTACTACCATTAACCTACTGCAATGACGTAGGCTACTAAAGTGAGGCTAGGTTAGATTATGTTG